AGCTGCACTCTACAGAAGACTTGATGGGGCCCTGGCCCATGGGCAAGGCTGGGCAGGGCGAGCAGGGCCTCACCAGAGGAGGAGGAGAGGCTGGGCGTCCCCCGCACAGCCCATGGGGAAGCACTGAGGCAGAAGCACAATGTCCGTCAGCCTTGCTCACTCGTGGCACTGAAGGTGGCCACAGAGGCTGTGCAGTTGGGCCTCTGTCGGCACCAGAACCACACTGGAGAGGAGGACATCAGTGAGAACAGCAGAACAGGAGGAGGTACAGTCCCTGTTGCTATCCTCTGCCCCCTTCTTCCCTCACAGCACACAGTCCTTTCTTTCCAAAACAAGATGCACTTGCCCGGTGGAGGACCTCGGCTCTGGGCCACTGAAGCTGCCCCTCACCTCCTGTAGCTCCGCCCCAGCCTGTGCTCTTTGCCCATGCTGTCCTGGGCAGGAGGCGAGAGTGCCACAGAACCAGCTCCTCCACCTCGATGTGCGGTGTTGCCAAGGTCTGTGGGCCCCATGAGCTGTTACAGCATTGCACGTGGGAGCCGTGACACAGTCCCAGGATGCCAACTGATACCACGGTGGGGATTGTTTTCCCTGCTCCACGCTTTTAACTGTGCAGGGCTCAGGCAGGGCAGGGAAGGGAGGAGCACACTTTCAGGGCATCCGCCAATCCTGTAGAGTCGCTTGTCCCTTGTGACCTACTGGACAGAGACAAAGAGCTTGGCACACCCCAGTCGGGAGGGGACCTGCAGGTCTGTTTTCTGTCCTCTGTTGTACCCAGCTACCCTATTTCACGCTCACAGTTCTTCTGAACTGTTGTGAAGCTCAGAAGTGACCATTCTTATTCTTTCTTTGTTGGCTTGTAGGCTCTTTCACAGCTGGAGCCAGCCTGTCGCTCACAATAGTAGTTTACTGTTGGTGTCCTTGTAATTCTGTCAGCTGGTTAATGAAGTCCCCGTGGCTGCTGCAGAAGCTGACAGTGCAGGGCTTTAGTTTTCTTGTGCACGGGGTATGCTATAGTGTGCTCAGAAGGAGCCGTCAATGCCAGGTCCTGCAGCCCCCAAAAAGACCAGGAGGATGGAGGGTCGTGCTGCAGACAAGGGGTGGCTGTGAGCACCCAGCTACTCTGCTCCAAGTCATGTGGTTGCCACCTCCCTGGGGTCCTCCAAGGCCCTCTGAACCCTGATTTTGAGCAGGGCTCTGCATGTGCTCCTTGCAGCCACGTTACAGGCTGCCCAGGGCTGCAGTTCAGGAGTCCTGTGGCCTTCCTGCCTCCAGGATGGACCCTGGATCGGTGTCCAGTGGGGCCACAGCCCCATCACCCCCAGGTGACCCTTTGCAGGCTGCTTAGAGAGCTACAGCCAATTTCTAACTGTGAGGAAGAGTGAAAGGAGCTGTTCACCCAGGGCCAGAGTTGCCAAAGTGGTGAAGTTGGGCGGTAGATAGGAGTTTGCTTTAAAAGTAACAGGATGTAAGAGTACTGTTTGTGCCTATTTCTAAGATCTTTAGCATATTTATTAAGTGTGCAGTGGCACCTTTGGTCACCAACACTTTTGTTTAGAAACAATTTCATTTGCAAATAAAAGCATTCGGCAAAATTTTGTTTTTGGTTGCAAACTCAGCATCCTGTGAAAACATAACCATGACCACCTTCTCACAGGAACACAAAATCATAAAACAAATTAAGTTCATGAACTGAGGTATCATTGTGTAGATATGGACACGTACATATGCCCATATATATGTTTAATTTCTGTTGACGTTTCCAATCTACTCAGGTATTTACATCAATTATGGATCTGAAACACTCCAACACTAATGTGTCCTTAAGAAGTGTAATTAGTTTCTGTAATCAAACCCATGTAGATATGACCTTACATATTTAGTACAATGCGTTACCCCTGTACAAATGGAAAAATAAAAATAAAAAATTAACATTTCTACACCAATATGGCTGATTACAGAAACTAATAAAGTTTTCTCTAAATAATGAACATAAAGAATAACTTAAGACTACAAGAGCAAGAAGCAATTTAAATATGTTAAGGGACCATTTTCATCTTCAGAATTAAGGATTATTTTAATCTTACATCACTGCCTTTTCTCTTTTACTTTCCTTTTTAGTTTTATTTTAGGATTCCCTATTTTTAATGTTCATACAGAGATTTCTTTAACTGAAATACCAAATAGTTTCTCTGGTGTGAAACACTATAATAGTACACAGGATCCTAATGAGATAATTAATAATGTGAAATAGGAAGTAAAGGGCTAAAGGTGTAGGGAAAGTGGGAAGGGTGGGGGAAGGTAATAAGGGAGAGGAAAAAAATATGAGAAACTGAAAAAATGGAAATAAAGTGTTTGTAAATGGGGAGGGGAGGAGAGGGTAAAGGGAGGGCAGGGACAAGGGGAAAAAATGACAATCAAGACCTATTATGTAAAGGTACAGGATCCCAATAACGAATGTAACTGTATTGTATACCTAGATTGTACCAATAAACTCAATAATAAAAAAAAAGAAGTGTAATTAACCAGCACAGGCAGTTACAAATCTTTTGAAGATAGTTACCATTATTTCCAATGCACATTTTAGGGACGAACACTCAATTCATGCATTTGATTGCACTGTGGAAGCTTGGGATTTCTGAAATGTAATTACTCGTCTCTTAAACCTGAGGATTTGATAAGAAGTGAATGCTATTTGGATGCTACAGGTGCTTGTGCCATTGGCCCATACTGCAGGCGTCCCTTCCCCATGGCGCTAAGAACTGTCCCTAAGACAACCCAGGGCAGGGCTTGCAGGAGTCAGGGCGCTCTAGGCGGAGACTGGGCTGGGTGGCCCACAGCTCCTCCCTCCCGGCCAACTGCACTGAGAACCAAATACCAGTTGATGCCGACATTTCTTTCCTCTAATTTAAAATTCCTATGCTACTATGCAATCAAACATTTCCACAGAACAGAAAAGTGCCAGGAAACAGACCAACAGATTCAAGCTTTCTCAGTTTACTTGGTGAAGGCAGAGAATTAGGCAAAGCTGCTCAGTCTGTGTTTCTGCCAAGGAGAACTAGGGGCTTCCACAGCCAGCAATGCCCTGTGGGGCTGAGAAGAGCATGCAAAGGAGGCCTTCTCAGACAAGGTGGTGGGATACCGGAGGGGTACACCTGTGACCTGCTCTCTCTGTCCACTGCTTGGACACCATGGGGACATGGGGATGCCAGGGACAGCTCATAACCCATCTCCACTCTGAACCGTCTCTGCGGAGGCCAGGGTGCTGGGGTTCCCTTTCCCAAACCTGTGCCTACCCATGAGAACAGAAGACCAAGTGCTCCAGAGCCAAAAGTGACTACCGCTGGAACAACAGGCAAAAAATCAGGGGCCGTGACTGGGTTGGAAAGGAATGAAGCAAATCCAGGTTGGGCATAATGCATGGCTAGGAAGTGGCCTGCAGGGGAGGTGGTAGACACAGGGAGCCCCAGGCCCAGAGCTCGTGCAGGCTGAGGCGCAAACTGGAAATAGGGAGGGAGGCGTCAGCCCAAAGCTTTCACTGTTCCTTGAGCCAGGCTAAGGCCGCAGGGAGGGCTCTGGTGGCAGAAGGATTAAAGGGACATGCTAGGTGTGCACAGAGCTCCTCACACTGTGGGGCTTCCTTGCTGCTGTCTGCGCTCCTCCAACACTGCTGTCGGACTAGGAGGGGTCTGAGCTGCTGAACGCGTGATGTAGGAGGATGCAGAAGAAAGGGTCCAGATGCATGCACCTCAGCAAGCACAGCAGTGATTTCACAGGGGCTCTGCAATATTCCTGAGAGGAGGAATTCTCACAAAGAAAATCACAATAGTAATTTGACCTTCTAATATCCATTGTTACTAACTTATCATGCATACAAAGCAATTAAGATGATTTCTCTTGACAGAGTCATTTTGATAGCATTATCTCCAAAGTAAAATTTTGGCTTTCTTACAGCATCAGCTACTCTAATTCCCTTTTTCCTCTGAGTTCTAATATTCTTCCACTGTGATTTCTCCTCCTAAGGGGGATTTGAGGCGATAACCCTTCATGCTAGGCACCTGGATCAGCCCAGGGCGCTGGGGTGGTGATTCTTTTCAAACTTGATTCACCCACCTGTCGAATAAAGGCATCAGCTCTGAAGAGTGATCACATATTTTCTAAAAATCCAAATCTTCAAATTCCTCCTATCCTGGTGTCCATACAATTTTCCAATTATCAGTCGAGCAGTGAATTGGACTGTTCCATGCACTTGAAGCATTATAACAGATTAGGTATATTCAGGGACTCAAACCAAGAATTATTTTTAACTTCGTGAACAAAAATGTTATAAGTAGCAGTTTTACTGCAAACTCATCTTCTAAAGAAAGCAGGCCTTCTCCTTTGTTTCTCTTACTCCTGGCTTTTTAATTTATATCCCTAAATTGTCATACTAATTTACATTATTACGATAGCAATCTTGAGCTCTCCTTAAAATTGCCAGCTGCGGATCCGGCCTGGCTCCCCCCACCTGCTGGCTGCTGTCTTAAGAGAGTAACCTAAATCCCCGAGTTCGTTTGTCCATCTGGGAGATTAGAGGTGATAAAATAGCATCCAACACTTCCGGTAGTTTTACTTCTGAGCACATCTACACGCCTGTATGATTCGTGTGTACCTGTACCTGTCATTCATGCAAAGCTATAGTTGAGCCAAGCACTCACTACACTCCCTCCACATGCGTGTCTCTGAGCTCTTGACTTTGAATTCTATTCCATAATCCATGTTTCCCGCCCCAGGTGCTGTTTCCAGGTCCAGCCCTTTGAGTATTAAAACATGAATACGTGCAGATTAACTCATTTGAAACCATTGCTTCCCCCAATGTGTCTACACCCTCTGTTTGGCGGGAAGCGTGCAGAATGAAACTGCAATTCAGAACCCCGAAATGGAACTCAGCCCTTGGAGAAGAGCACGTGCGGGCCGGCGGGGGATGGGGGTGAGGAGCGTCCTGCCGGCGCGCTGCTTACTCGTGTAGGTGAGCTGGAAGCCGCGGTCCGTGTCCGAGCTGTTGCTGTTGAACTCCAGCCACAGGTGGTTGGAGGTGCTGTTGAGGGTCAGCCCCAGCAGCTCGTTCTTGCTGAAGCTTCCCAGCAGATGCGAGGAGCTGTCTTTTCCATCGTAAACCTAGAGAAAATTCACAGCGTCAGTGCCACTAGCCCTTAACTGGACTCTTTTGGTGGCAATTTCAACAAGAAAAAGCAACCCAATGCTCAAATAGCTTTCTGCAGTGTGGAGAACAGTCACGCAGTCATGCAAGCCTAAGGGCCGACACCGTCACACCTCTACCAGTAATGCCACAGACCAGGTCCGCTGTGCTCAGGTCGTGTCTGTTCACTCTAAGGGGGCCTCCTGAGGTAAGGTCAGACACATTCGTGCACAGTTCCCGGTCCGCTTCCGGAGTGCGAGAACTCCCAGTGGACCCAAGAGGTGTGGGCTTGGTTCTGAGCAGGCGTGGGCTGGATGTGCGGGGGCTGGGGTGCGATTCACCCTAGAAGGGCAGGCGAGGGAAGGGCGGATGGAGACGGGGTCACACTGCTGAGGCCGGGACACCTTCACCCAAGGGCTTCTTTCTGCGGATGTCCCGAGGCCCCTCTGAGAAGGACACGGCGCCCTGTCCTGCAACCCTGTACAGCCAATCTCTTCTGCCCCAGGGGAGGCAGCACTCTCAGTGGGAAAACCACCTCGTGGTGAAGGGCTTTCCAAATGAATTAAAACGTATCACAGTGTAATGAACAACGTCTGGCTTTTCTTGCCAAGAAAGAAACCTGAGTAAATAAAGGTCATCAGAGTCCTCAGAGGCCTCTGCTCCACTCATCCTGCTGGAGGACTTGGCGGCCCCATGTCTGTCCTCCCTGTGTGCGTGCCCGTGTGCTCCTCAGACACACACATGCCTGCATGCACCCACAGAAAGCACAGCCACATTAATGCTGTGATTATTTCATTGCAATTAGATAAGCACATTCTGGTGGAGCAGAAGGAAATACCCTCTAATTTCCTTCCTAACAGGCTGTTGTTAGAGATTATTATTATTTTTAAATCACTGCCTGTTTGGAACTGTGGTTTCCTTCAACGTGCTCAGGGTCCTGCCATCCAGAGCCACAAAGAGGCCCAGGGCCTCCTCTGTTCCATGTGTTTCTGTGTAAGGTGTAGAAACCTGCAGAGACATCTGGGGTGGGGAGCAGGAGATGAGGCCCCAGGTCAGCCACAGGGGTGGACGGAGCACCTGCAGCAGTTTTGGGTCATAAGGACAGCCAGCCTCAGTCACGCCATCGGAAATGACCAGGGCCTTTGTTGGATGGTTTTCCTCTCCAGAACAGCGTGTTCTTTCCTGGTGTCTGTACTCTCATGGACTTCGCAGCATGGCCACCCACTGAGGCGGAGCACCATGGTCCTTCCAGCAAGCACGAGGGCTGGAGGTTTGCACTGGCCACGGAGCAGAGCTGGACAGCAGGGCAAGCAGGGACTTGGGTTTCCAATCCAGCTGATCTTCAGGGGTCCTGGGGATCCCCTCATCTGGGATTCGCTAGAATCCAGGGGTGCCCTCAGTTCTCAGAAAAGCCACTCCAAGTCACCTGCTACATGGGGAGTGAGAGGGGTCAGACTGGCAGGTGCATGGGGATCCCAAGATGGTCAGGCTGAGCACCTGAGGAGATCTCAAGTAGCTTCCAGGAGGGTGCTGGGCCGTGCCTGACAGGCTGCCCCTTTGAAGCTGTTCGTGAGCCTTTCTCTCTCTGTTTCTTGTGTCTGTGTGCATGGAGGGGAGGGGACCGGTGACAAGTTGCGGTGCATAGCAGTGGAGCCAGTACACATGCAGTAGCAGCAGATAGCCTTCCGGCCCTCAAAGTATGGCAACTTCACTTGAAATGTTTCTAATGCTGAAGTGTTTATTTGCTCATTCAACCAAATCTAGCCCAGTAGAACAGCTTGGCATTTTATACAATCAAGTTTCCCTGTAGTTAGACACAGCCAGCAAGAGAGCGTTTTTAACTTGGGCTGTAACTGACCAGTCTGAGCTGTCGGCAGTCAACGTGGAGCTCAATTTCCTCCCCTCCTTCCTCCCCAGTAATGTTGGTATTCCATGCAGAACTGCCCATCGCCCACCTGTACTGGGCGCAAAGGCTCTCTGACTCCTAAATCTGAGGATATCAAAGACTTTAGGAAATCCTTACTTACACCTTCAGGCTGTCAGCATGACTTCCAAAAGAGCTATGAAAATGAAAGAATGAGCAGAATAGAATCACTCCAGTCCTCTGGGCATTGAGGAAGTCAGTGCTGGGCAGAGGAGTGGCAGAGGAGCTTTGGCCCCCGCCTCCGTGACCTGTGCACCCACTTCTGGGGAGGCTGAGTGGACCTGCTGGACCCCAGGATTGTGCTGCTGGGAGCTGTGTTTAGCCTTAGCTACTCACAGCCTTTCCTCTCAGGGTCCTGGGCTGGGTCTACCACTGCCACTTTCTTGGGCCTGGACCCTGGAAAGGCCCTAGATCTGTGAAACAGATACAGGAGATGCAGGTCCTCTGTGAACAGCCTCAGAAGCCAGATCCAGGGTGCATCTGGCTGTAGCTGAGGTCCATAAGCCAAGGAAAGGCTGGGGGTCCCACAGTCCTTGAGACCCAGGCTTGCCCTGCCCTGGCTTCTCCCAAGAGTGTTGCTTGCTGTTCTAGGGGCAGCGGCTGGACTTCCATATGGAGCCTCTGGGAATCCTTCTGGCTCTGAATGCTCAAAGTGGAGGATAAACTAGAGAATATTGAGAATCACTAGAGAAAGGGTTGGCTGGGGCCCGTGTGTTTAGTAATTGCTTGCATACGCTGCATGCAATGTCAGACACATCCGGATGTTGTATCTGTGTCATTACGGGTCCCCACGCAGAGACAGCCACGTGCCAGGCTTGCTGAGTAGTTTGCTTGGGAGAGGCTGCTTGTGGGTGTTAAGGTCTGGGATTACAGACAGATTCTGCTAAGTGAGGTCGCATTAATTGAACCTTCTCAAATCAATTACATAATAAATAAAAACACTAAATATAGCAATAAAGCTGGATGGCTGTATATCTATGTGGACAGGAAAATCGGAATACAAATGGGTGGATGGGTGAAGGGAGAGGTGGTAGACGGGGTGGGGGACAGATGACAGACAGATGGGTAGCAGAGAGGAGAGATATGATGGCTGTCGGGTGGCCGGCAGACAGGTGGGTGACAGATGTGCCAGGTTCCTGCGGGGAAAGGCAGTGGAAGAGCCCCTTTACCTTTAGGGTATCGCCCTCGAACAGCTGGAAACTCCGAGCGCGGAGGTGGATCCCCTTGCCAGCTTCTGTTTCTATCTTATAGATACACTCGTGGTTATTATCGTAATTGGACGGGAAATTTGGAGACAGTAATGTTCCTTCATTGCCTTTCACACTTGCTCCGCATTCAGCTAAAATAAATAGGACATTAGAGAAAGAGGGTTCAAAAGTGGAATTACTGATTTTCACAGACTGAACCCTTCACCGTTACGATCACCCTCTTTCTGCCAGGGAGGCCTGTCCTCAGTGCAGGTTTTAAAACACCGATTAGTGACATTTTTACTGTCTTACCACTGGACAGCCAAGCTGCCGTTCGACCCATTTCTGACAGCCTGATTTATGCTGCCACATGGGCTCTTCGGCAGGCACGGTGTGACTGTGCGGAGCTCCAGGAAGGCCCTTTTCTCTGAGCTCCCTGCCCCAGCTGTGTCCCTGGAGGGTGCTGTCCCTGCTCCACGCCTCCCTTTTGCCTCAGGGGATGCCCGGCCTGGACCACATGCAGCACTGTTGGGAACCCCTGCATCTCCCTGCGCTGCTCCTGATCCCCTACCAGGAGGTGTGCGCTGTCCACGGATGGGAACGCTCAGGGGTCTCCCCATGCCGCAGAGGGGACCCTGGATCTAACGGGCCGCGAGAACACTGGTGGTGTCACTCTCCTGCTCTCTTTCCCCTGAGGAAGGCAGAGGGTAAGTGACCCCAAGTTTGCACAAAATAAAATACTTTCAGTCAAGGTGAAACTGACAATAAGCATAACTGTTTTCTGTCAACCCCCACACGTTGCCACCAATCTCTCGGAGGCCATCTTCTCATCCCCAGAACTGCACGGAGCTCCTCGCAGTTCACAGGGAGAATGGGATGAAACAAGGCTGCAGCGCAAGAGTGACCAACCGCTGGGTGGGGGTCCTGTCTGCTGGTCTATAGGCTGTGTTCTGTGCCATGCATGGTGATTTTTAACAACTGAACAGAATGAGGATCACTGAGAAACAAGGATCAGGCTGAAGTGAGCACCGGAAAGTGCTACTTCACTTCGGTGAAGGACAGGGAGAAGGAGCTCACCCACGCAGCCGCACCTCAGGGACTCATGTGGGCATCTTCCGTGTGCCGTCTGGGCCGGGCGTCTGTGCTCTGTAGTTAACACCCCTTCTGCTCTGGCCAGGAGCACAGGCAGCACCCAGGCACCACGGACCCCGCCCCCTGCAGAGGAAACTGCGGGGACCTAGAGAGACCCGAGTGGCTCCTGCACAGACCCAAGTCTGCACACGGAGTGAGTCGGGTGGGACCAGCTGGGGCTGGGACCACCTCAGGTTCGGTCCAGCGGGGACAGAAGAGTGAGGGAGAAGCACAGGGAAGTGGAGGCCAAATGAAACGGCAACTCTCAAAAATGTATAGCAATATCCATTATTACTTTTATACATGCTCATGGAATCCCAGTGCTCTCCGAAACTTACTTTATGAGAACATGCAGCAGAGCATGGCTGGCTTTCAGGCGTTCACACAGGCTCATCTCCTGGCCCCAGAGCCCTGGCTCGGCCATGAGCAGGACTCTCCACTGAAGAGGAATGGATGTTCTCCAGGGCCACACCCTGGGAAAAGAACCACCCATGGTACGGGTGGCCTCACTGGACAGATTTCTACTTCTGTCCTCACCGAAGAGACCAGGGTTCTAGCATAGAACCCAAAATTCACAAAGTGAAAATCGGATGCCCTGGGCCCTTCCTTCCCCAGAGTGAAACATGGGATGCCCAACTTATCGGAGGTGTCGAACTTAACAGGAATAAAAGAAAATCACGGAACTCTGAGGACTGGCATACAGAGCTCAGTCTCAGACATCGCAGACAATGATTTAAACCTGAGTCTGACAATGACCAACTGAGGAAACAGTTCAGTCAGCATCAGGTCCTTCAGCCTATGGCTGTTATCATTGTAGAGATGCAAGCGATGGAAACAGGGCAGTGCTGACAGTGGTGAAGGGAGCCTCCCCCTGGCTGTGCAGCCATCAGGGCTGGGCCGCCATGGTGGGGTGTGTGGGCACTGTCACCGGGCATGGCCTATGGGACTCACTCTCTTGTTGTCTGCTCTTACTTTAGATTCCACTCCACCAGGCTTTCTGTTTGGTGTTGCTTTTCAGATTTTCCCCTCTGTGAAACTGGCTATCCGGAGTTGCTTTCAGTTTGGTTGTTTTTTTCATTCCCAACCCTTTTCAATATTATTATTATTTTTTTTTTTATTTTGAGACCAGGACAAGGTCTGTCTAAGTTGCTCAGGCTGGGTCAAAGTTGTGATTCTCCTGCCTCATCCTCCCAGAGTACTGGGATCATATGACCTGCTCTCCCAGATGCACCATGATGAGGCTGATGTAAACACTAATTTATTTTATTCATTACATTATCAATGTAGTGGTCTTGGCAGACAGCTAAATAGCCCTCAGTTGCGGACAAGGAAACTGAGGTATAGAATAATTCACAAGACAGGGCTGGTTCTCAAGGTCACATGAGAAATACAGATGACTGATGTGATAAGAATGCCAGAGGTCAGGAGGAGAATAATGCTGTGTGTCCTAAATACACTGAATAATTTATAATTAATGATGCACAATGATGGTCACGATTAACAGTAACGAAGTGGGCAGTGGGGTCAGCTGCTGGAAGAGATTTGAAGCTGCTTTGAAGGACTTGACTGAAGATGGCATCCATAGGCCGCAGCTGGGGTTTGCTGTTGCCCTGGCACCCAGAGCTTTTGTCACAAAGCACTAAGTGGGAGGCACTGTGAGGGGGGCTCAGGAGGAGGACCTGATGCGGGTGCTGTTCGTGTCCTTCGAAGATGTGCAGGCGGGCACAGTGAGGGCCAGGACGGACACCTTGCCCGCCTCTGCAGGGCCCCACGGGACCCGGTGACACTGCTGTGCGGAACACACGTGGCTCCAGTGGCCGTGCATCTTGGAGTCCTGGCCCACGGCAAGGTCAGCACGAGCCAGGCGTCCAGCCCTGCAGCTAAGTGTTCCCTCTGGCGTCACAGTTCCCATCAGCACCTGGAATCTCACTGAGAACCAGAGCTGGGAGAGAGCATGCGGCCAGAACCTCAGGCCCAGGACAAGCAGGTGCCGTGCAGGGTGTCGTGTGGCTGGCAAAGCAACCTGGGAGATGGGGCCCGGGCAGATGCAGCCTGGGCGGCCTTGGGCTTTCCAGAGCTGGGCGGGAGGTGGCTGAGACAGCCTGAGGGAGGCTTAAAGGGCAACACTGGCACCCCAGGGACTCCAAGGAGAGTGGAGGGCGCAGACGTCGCCAGGAGGGACTGGGAAGGGATTCTTGACTGCGAGGCAGAGGTGCATCCTCGAAGGCCCAGAAAAAAGTTGTGTGGCAACTGGGCGTGGCAGTGCATTTTCCTTCTACGCAACACGAGCTCATTTTATTCCTACATGAGTAGATCACCCTTACCACCCATAAGGGAGAAGCCCACACTGGACCGTCTCACAGGAAGGCAGCACAGTGAGGTGGACAGAGCCGCCAGGAGCACAAGTGGCAGAGTGGAGCCCGCAGGACGCTGCGCCGCCTGGGGCGGGACCACAGTGACACCAGCTGCTTTCCCACAGCTCTCCGTTCACGTCTCACAGACCCCTCCCACGCGCGTGCGAAACCTGTTCTATGACTTAACTTGTTTTCAGATGAAGTTTACTGGGGTACAGAAACGACTGCCACACAGCACTGGAAGGGAGGGGTGGGAACGTGTGGAAAGAGCCAGAGAAGAGAAACAGGAAGCCTCGGGCCTCCGTCCTGGGGGAGATTAGGGAGAAGGCTCCTCCACTGTTCAAAGGCAGCTGCTCAGAAAATTACTAAACTGAAGCGAACAAAATGTCAGAAATTCTTTGGATGTGATTCTAGGGACCCGTTGTAAGTTGTCCTTACCAAAGCAATTAAATGCTTCACTTTTTAAAATTCTTTCCATAATTTGCCATATATGACTTTAAGGTGAGCAAAATTAATTTTTCTTCATGTAAGTTATTTGCTTATGTACAAAGAATTACTGTTATTAAAATGGAAGTTATTGAGCACTTTGCAAGGGAGATAAACTAATTAAAATTAAATTCACTGTGTTAGAAAGGCGTCAACTGATTTTCCCACTAGTGCTCTTGGTTGTCTCGCCCATGGGGACGCACTCACCACCCTGGCCACCTGTGGCCAGGACAGACCCCGCCCACGGGTGTCCGAGACCTTGGGCTGAGGAGGGGTCCAGCTGCGAGTCAGTGTGAGTTTGTAGACAATCACTGTTAGAAAAAGTCTTTCTTCTCTGCAGTACTAGGGATTAGATCCAGAGCACGGGCATCCTAGGCCCGTACTCTGCTCACCAAGCTACACTACCAATCAAAGAAAGGTTATTTTAGTGGTGATATCAATTCACTTATTTATTTTTTTTGATTAAAAAAATATTGCCGGGGATTTAGCTCAGCAGTTCAGTGGCCTGCCTCGCAAGTGCAAGGAGTCGAGTTCGATCCCCGGTTCCCCAAAATTTTTGGTACCGGAGATCAAACTCGGGACATTTCACTTGCAAGGCAGGCAGTGGAAACTATATCAATTTATTTACAATTTTATTACCAAAGAATAGGTTAAGAAACATAACCCTGCAATGTGCCCTTGGATGTGCAGACAGGATTCAAACACTGCTGAGTAAGCTGTCCCACTCTGTGTCCCAGGACAGGGCAAAGCTACACATTTCAGCCCCAGTTTCCCCGTACAAGGCCTGGCAGGAACAGTGCTGGCTGGAATTGTTACAATGTCCCAGGGCGTCGGGCTGAGAGAACGCTGTGCACCTGGTGACTGTCGATTGTGCTGACTTACAAAGCCATGAGCTTTGGTCTTCTGCCCTTAAACCCAAGTTTACTGTGGTCAATGAAACAAATATTTTAAGCAAACATTATTTAAAATGTGTTTATCTATATTGATGTGCCAAAAATATCTAAGAATGACATAAAGTAAATATTACGTGTAATCCATTTACTGTATTAGACATATTTACTTAATTTAATGTGATTACTGGCTTATCGCTCAAGATTAAACAAAAAGGATATTAAAAAATAAATAGATACTATATTTTGGCATAGGAAAATAATGTTTAAATAGAATTTGCCAAATTATTTAAGCTCAATTTAATTTAGCATTAAAAGAAACGTGGCTGAAATAAAAATGCAGGTAGAAGGGCTAGGAATTTAGCTCAGTGGTTCTGGTGCCTGTGTCGCAAGTGCAAGGACCTGAGTTCGATCCCCAGCACCCCCCAAAAAATTTTTTTCAGGCAGAACATTTGGCTTCAATTTGGCTTTAAGACCTCTCTGAAATACGTATATTTTGAACAACCCAGGTGAGTGTGCTGACTTTTTCAGTTCTGCTGAGGAACTCACATTTGTCTGTGACGAGAGGTCCCAGGCAGAAGGACCACATCTTCGTGCACTTTTGCCAGGAGTTTGCCCAGTGGACCCCGCTGTGTACTTTCTGAGTGTGGAAACTCAGCCTTGGCCTCCGCTGTCTGAGTTTTGCTCACAGGCCCCAAGGTGCAGCGTAGACCCTCATGGACCCTGCTCTCAGGACAGGTCCTCCTGCCCACCTGCCAGGATGCGTGTGATCCTGCCCTTTGCGGCCACTGTCTGCATCACCTCAGGGCCCTAGCCACAATCATCCCCACCACATCTGCATCGGCTGCTTCTCCTGCTGAGAGCCGGGGGACAGGCTGAGGTGGATGCTGGGAGTCAGGGAGGCCCTGTTCAGGGCCGGAGGGGTGGGTGGACAGGGCTCCCATCCAGGGGCCTGAGCAGCCCACAGAGGGCAGATGTCCACAGGCCAGGCTGAGGTCCATTCTGGTTGGAACAGGCATGGACAAGGAGGGGTACAGGTATCACCCTAAAGCCTGTATAATTAGGGGCATCCCAGCTAGACTGCTGGCACACTCCTGCAATCCTGGCACTCAAGGAGGCTGAGGCAGGGGGATGACAAGTTGGAGCTGAGCCTGGGCAACTTGTGACTTTGTGAGAACATGTCTCAAATATTTAAAATTATGGGGAAAAAAGACTGGGGTTGTAGGGGTTATAGTACAAGACTGATTCTGTCCCCAGTACAGGAAAGGAGGAAGAAAGGAAGGAAGGAAGGAAGGGAGGGAGGAAGGAAGGGGAGAGAAGGGAGAGACGGTTGTACCCTACAGGCTGACAGGCTGGAAAACTCGGGAGCAGCAGCGGAGGGCGAAGGCTGAGTCAGGAAAGCACAGGGCCCGGGCCCTGCCTGGCTGCACCCTGGTTAGACCTGTCATGACCTCGAGTCTCCCACAGGGGAGAATCCTGAGAGACAGGATGAACAGTGCAGGCTCCTGGATCTGCGCAGAGCAGGACCGCCCAGGCAGCGCCAGGCTTGCAGCAGTGGAGAGGTTCCCAGTCTCTGCTGGGGTTTCCAGCAGCTCCCTGCACCTCTGGGAGCTCCAAGCATCATCCAGGAAATACCACATCTGACCTTGTTCCCCCAAACTGATCTCAAAGCTTATGTCCAGTTCTTAGATACACAGCGTAACAAGGAAAAGAGAATTCCCACAGCAGGGAAAGCTGGGGGTCAGAAGTGGACACATACGTCCTGGCAGGACAAGGGACAGGAGCCTGGTGTTCACACGGCCTTCTGTCTGTGGTGAGGTTGTGACCGTGGCTGCGTGGTGAACCCACGGACAGCGCCATCCCGAGGCCCCAGTGCTCCCGGTGACAGTTGCAGAGATGCAGGTTGTGGGCAGCCGGCCACGCTGTGAGCCTCACATAGGGCTTCCCGCTGCCTAGCTCCTGGGCGGGAAGGCACAGTGGTGGGAGGAACTGGGCTTCATTTCTAATCTACCCCGTTTCTTTGTGCAAAATCAGGTGGTCCCCGTAAGTTCAGGAACCCATGTTAACCAATAAGTCTGGGACACAGGGGCAGCCGGCTCTCAGGACCCCGGGGCTGGCCACCCCTCCACCTCGCATTGGAACTGCCCTGCAGACAGGGTCTCCCTGTACAACCTCTCAGAGCAGCACAGGCACGGGCCCAGTAGAAGCATCCCCTGGAGAGCCAGCCACTGCTGCAGCCAGGGCCCAGCACATCCTGGAGGCCTCTCACCAAGGACACCAGGCTGCCCATCTGCTTCAGGGCCGCCTGCTGGGTTCTGGAGAGAACTGGCTGGGAACCCACATCCGGATGGCTGCCTGTACTGGACTTCAAGGGGCCAGCAGAGACTCACTGCCTTTGGGCCCCGTTTTTGTGTGAACCAGGGGCTTCACACTGAGCTACAACCCTGGACCTTTTGATTTTATCTTGAGACAGGGTTTCCCTAAGTCACTGGCCAGAGCTTACACCTACATCCTCCTACATCAGCCGCCCAGAATGCCAGGTTCCTGGAGTGTGTCACACACCCAGCTCAGTCACTGCTCTTGACCCAGATAGTCATCAGGACACCAGTGCGACTGCAGCGTGGCCTCTAGCTTCTTTACCCCTGGATCGCTAAGGACACACATTTTCCACTGCCTAATCACGCCTGGACTCCGCTCAGTTCCGCTCCCTCCAACACAGGCCTGCTGGCCCCTCCTGCCCGGCC